GTACTATTCTTGCAATTTTTCTGCAAGTTTGAAATTCATATAAAACAAAATTTTAAAAAATTAGGACAATATTAACTACTTGAAGATGCTGAAGTGTAAAACAGTAAAATCTTTAGGTGAAGGTTCCAAGCTTATAATTCTGCAGAAGTTAGATAGGAACTTAATCACTATGAGACTTTTATACCTGATCAGTTTTTTGTTGGCCTACTGACCATGTTCTATGATCAGTTTGTTTGCTGTTTGAAATTAATCATTTCTTTTAAAATTTTATTTAAAAAAATTTTAAACAAATGGCTAATTTACTTAAATTATACCTGAAAAGACACTTGTCAATACATAGCAACAATGTTTATTGGATACTAAATAATAAATGGAACAATTTGGAAATTTGTTCAACTTCTAAGGCATTTCACTACCAACATGTGCTGTTGCATTGTTAATATCTGGCCGTTTAAATGTCAGTTTGATATCTAAGAAATATCACTGGGTTTACCAGTTCTGCTTTGTGGTATTATCTGAGCACTGCAGGCTCAATGACAGCTATAGCTTCTCTCTAGATATTTCTACAGAGTACCTACAGCCTGGGTATCTAACACTCATCTTTAATGAGTCAGTAGCATCACTTCCTGTAGCATCTCTACTTTTTCCTTTGTGTTTCTCATTCATGTACTAGTGGTCCCTGGCATGTGAGTTCACAGTCTCAACTGATACATAGCTTATGACAGCGAAGGAACTTTATTTCCACTCAGGAACTAAATGTGTGTTATCCCCTTCCATTTGCATGTGAAAATCAAGAAATAAATGTTGTGTAATCATTTAATTTAATTTAATTAAGCACACTTCACTTTCAATGTTGTGCTGCCTGATATTAAAAAAAATGTAAATGAGTCTCTATTGACTCACTATATTATAATATAACTGCCTCTGTTCCAGCCCCTTTAAGATTATTTTATATAGGTATATAATATTTTAGTTATTCTAGCCTAAAATGAATCTCCTAATATGCAAGACATTTTATCTTACACAATTCTAGCTATTCTTCAGTTTCCTTACATTTCAAAATTTACCTCCAGAAATTTTTATTAATCTACTTCTGTAATGTCTAAAACTTAGATCTTTATCACTTCAAGGGTGATTTTTGTTGCTAAATTCTTAAACAGTGATAATACAGTTCCCAATTAAATCACATGAAAGTACACAGATGACCTAAGCCTCAAACCACTACTGTTTGCAAATACTAATTATAAAATCTCCAAGCCCCAAGTAAACTAATTTTATTCATTTTCATGTGAAGTTACAAGAAAATACAAAGTTAGACCCATAAATGGGAAGTTCTCATTTTTTCTTTAGTGTCTTTCATGTGCACCATTCCTGCCCCTTTGCTCATGCAGGTCTTTCTGCTTGGAATTATTTCTCCCTCCTCTCCCTCTACATTTACCAGGATCCTAGCCATCTTTCAAAGATCGTGCAAGTTTTACTTCCTACTTGAGGCTCTATTTTATTACTCTGTATACACTTATTTTTTTTCTTCCTTAGCATTTCTAGTCCTAAAGTTCGTTAGTTTAAGGAAGTTGGCATGTAATTGTTCTCCTCTAATTGTTTCCTATAAATCCATATGTTAGACTTATCCTCCTAATGAGGCTCAAATTTTTGAAGGCAAGGACCATCCATGCCTTGTATCACTTCTTTTCAAGCTATTTTTTTGCATAACCTCTAAAATTATTTTTTAAAATTATATACCTCTTTGTATATCTTTAAGCTGATGTGTGAAATATTATCATAAGTAACTACAAAGGGTATAATTCAAAATATTGACATTGAAGATAAAAAACAAAGCAAAAACTATTACATGAGACTTTTAAGTGTATGTAAAGGGATCTAAATACTTTTAAGTGTATGTAAAGGGATCTAAATACTATTGTGATTGATACTGTAGTCATTCATTTGGAAAAATTACATGCAGTCTTCTTTAACTGTTGGAAATTGTACATCATTTTTTCCACTTGAAGTCATATTTCTGTTCCACATTCTTCCCAGAATTTTATCCTAATAGAGTATTTTTATGCTTGAAAATTTGCTCTACATCAAATATATGAGGTCTGTCCAGAAGGCATCCAGCCATATAATATGTAAAGTAGAGACATTCACTGAAGAAGATACAAGATATATTGTATATAAGACAATGACACTCTCAGTCCCCTTCAAAGTAGGCACCTTAGCACCTCACACAGTTCTTCTAATTGCCATAAGCTGCCCTGTTGTATTTTCCTGAATCTCATTGACAGTCTGAAACTTTTTCCCTTTCAAAGGTGATTTTAGTTTTGGGAAAAGCCTAAAGTCACAGGGGGCCAAATCTGGGCTGTAGGGGAGGCTGAGTCACCTGGGTGATTTGATGTTTCAGCACAAAACTCTGCACGAGACGTGATGCATGAGCAGGTACATTGTTGTGATGAAGCTGCCAGTCACCAGTTACACATGGCTGTGTCCTTCTGAATCATTCAAATAATTTCCACAGAGGAATGTTCAAGCTTAATGCAAAATCTGATGCACTACTTGCTCAGTCATGGTGAATGTGACCGCCACACAGTACCCATGCTCACTCAACTGCATCTACTGCTTCCACTGATTAGTACAGTGAAGTCTTCATTGTTCACACATGCGTATTCCAGTCCACTCTCCTTGGCTGCCAGGTTACATTGATGTTGTGCAAACCATTCTCGTTATATGAACAGTGGCTGGACTTTTTCTGGACAGAACTTGTATATGTAAATTGAAGTTATTTTTTAGTTTCCTTACTAGAGGCTTTAAAAGTGATAAAATACTCCTTCTAGACTGACTTATCATTTCAATTATTTTTAGTACACAATCAAAATCAAAACCACATAAATGTAATATAAGTACTAACTAAACATAAAGGATACAATTTATTAAAAATTCATGTTTTTATGAGATGCATAGAGCTGTTCATTTACCCACATATGAATATTACCTATTGCTAGAAATAAGTAGGGTTCAGCATGAATTCTGTTTCTGTTTTACATTTTTACAGATGTAAATGCTGAGAAGACTTGTTCACATAAAATTATAGGTGGAAATAGAAGATATTTTATTATAGCAATGTCAATTCTATGAATTCCTTCCAAGTCATATGCCGAAAATTATGTAGTGATTTATTATAAAAATGTTTTTCATCTCTTGTCACCTGTTAACTTGATTACATCTTTTTTCAATGTCATTGAAAGCAAAGGATTGGGAACACCCTACTTAGGAAAAGATTAAATAGTCATTAGGAGTAATTTCCTTTCAAAGTTTCTAAGAAAAATACCAAAAACCTTTACTATGATTTATCAAATGACAAGTATACCTGTTATGCTTTAATACAATGCACTCAGAATGTATGGGAAATAGTAAAACGTTAACTGCAACATACCTGTCAATATAATAATTTTTTGAGAAAATGATTTTATTGTGTCATATGCTTTAAATATATCTTCATCAACTCTTCAGAACTGCAGATTTGGTTCATTCAATTTCTGGAAATTATCCAATTTCCTAGTTGGCAAAAACAGACCCCACTGTCAAAACAAACAGTCCAATCAGATAGATTTAAACTTTCTTTCAGAAAATATCTTACTTTATTTATTCAAATAAATGTGTAAACAAACATCATTCTGCTTTCATGCACACTCCTGAACTCCTTTCCTAAGGGAGAGAGCTACTGCAGGGAGCCTTGTCAGAAGGTTGGCGCATTAACACAGCAGGGGCCCTGCCTCCCCTGCCGCTGGCTTTCTTCCCCTGGGCTCTTTCCCAGGGATGACGCACTCTCTGACAACAGGTGCGGGAGTGAAAAGCACAACCACATTAAATGAAGTTTGTCAGCTGTTCTGCTTCTCCATACTGTAATGTATCTGATTGCCAAACATCCCAGCGCGGACCAAAATTTCCTGTTACTTATGCCATTCTCTGCCATTAAAGAAACGTGTGTAAGGCAGGACAACCTTTGAAGCTCGACTTTGGATTTTTCATGCCTTGATTGAAGGAGGCGACCCCATAACAATGCTTCTTACCATTGTTTGGTGCCTTAGAGGTTCTTCTACATACCCCTCAATAGAAGATAACCATAATAAGATTAGGCAATTGATGCTTTTCTTTACAAAGCAGGAGAAAATTGACCATCGAAGGGAAGGGGAAAGACTCGGCCTGAGTGCTACACAGCTGCACTCTCAGGATGCCCAGTGTGGGACAGGATATACGCAGAACTTGTGGATCTGGACACCGTATTTTAAAATTACCCACACCCACCTAGCCCTTGGGCAGGCTCTCAGTGCCCACGGCGATGTGCATACACCAGTTAGAAAACAGCTTTCTTGTGCCCAGTGATACACTGAGATAGGGTAGGTTACCGATACGTTGTTTACCCTTTAACACAGGGAGGAAAATGATATTAAGACTACAAAAATGTTAAGTTCAGTTAAAGTACATAAGTGGAAATATCATTTTATTTTTCTTTAGCGTACTCTTCTGTGCTTAAGTTTAAAAATTTTTTGTTTAAAAGTTCTTATTGAATGATCCATACATTCCTGGTGAGTTTTGCTTGGAACCATGATGTTCACACAGCAGTAATAAATGCCTTTTAATTAGAATAATTATAGTCATTATTCCTGTTTTGATAAAGTTTTATTTGAATGATTTTCACATATTCAAACTATTTTTATACAATATTATACCTCATATTTAAATATATATGTCAAATAATAAAGCTACAAAATAAAATTGTTCATTGGAGAAGGGCTGGAATTGATGTTGGATTTTAAAATGCCTCAACCTGTTGTTATAAAAAGCTATATTAAAATGATTACTATTTATGGCTAGCCATTGGGAGATATGTATATTTTGTAGGAAAAAAGTGGGTCTTCGGTAGTGATTAACTTAGAAATTGTGAGCTACTGTAAATTACTCTTTCTTGCCGAAGTAAAACCTCAGCTTTCCATCCCCAACAGAGAACACTCCCAAGGCAGAGTCGAAACAAGAGCGGCGGCGAGGCCTTCAGCCGCCCAGTGAAGCCGTGGCGTGCCAGGGGGCACTGCCGCTCAAGTGCGCTGCTTGGAAATCGGCGGAGGTAAGTCACTGGAGTTTTTCATTTCTGCTCTGAACAGCGACCGCAAACGCAGTGACCTAAACCAGTGCAAACCGATGATCTCACAGTCCCGCAGGTCCCACGGGGCGGAAATCGCGTGCCTGTCTGCGGGCCGCCTCCCCATCTGCAGGCTCTGAGGGCGAGTGTGTTCTTTCAGCTTCTTATGTTCTAGGAGAAACTGCCTGTCTTCCAACTTTGTTTTTGGTGTCCTTTGTCATATAGAGTTTTAAATAAGAATGAGGTTAAATTATCAAAATTTTCCTTTATAGTTTGTGCATTTAAAAGTCTTATTTAATACTTTCTTCTTTTTCCTGCCCTGGCTGGTGTGGCTCAGTGGATTGAGTGCCAGCCTGCAAACCAAAGGGTCACCAGATCAATTCCCAGTCAGGGCACACACCTGGGTTGTGGGCCAGGTCCCCGTGGGGCACGTGAGAGGCAACCACATATTGATGTATCTCTCTGTCTCTTTCTCCCTCTCTCTCAAAAATAATAAATAAAAAATAAACCCTTTAAAAAGTCTTTTTTATCCTTATATAATAAAGATTTTTTGTTTTTTCTTCTAAATGTTGAAACCCTTATGCCTTCTAGAATTTTAATATATAGTGTGTGATAAGGCCTTATTTTATTTGAATCCTTGATGAATAACAGTATTTAATTTATTGAACAGTCCATCTTTCTCTATTCATTTTTAAAACATTTTAATATGAAATAATTAGAGACATAAGAAATTTCAGAAATAGTATGGAGTCCCTGTACGTTCCACCCAGCTTCCCCTCATGTTGATGTCTCACATTTCCGGAGGTTTGTAGCTGAAACAGTATCAAAACCAGGGACTCCATTGGTGTGTTACTGCTAACTGTACTACAGACCTTAGTTAGTTTTCAAATTTTCAATTCAGTGTTAAGTTTCATAACCTGCATTTGTATGTGTGTGTGTGTGTATTCTATGCAACTAAGTGTAGATTTGTGTAACCAGCACGATAATTAAGATACAGAACTGCTCTACCCCCACAAAAGAAGTCCCCCTCACATGACCCACTCCATCTCACCCCGACAACCTTCTCCCCAGCAACCACTGATTGGTCCATCTATAATTTTGTTATTTCTAGAATGCTGTGTAAATGGACTCAGACAATATGTAATCTTTCGAGATAGATTTTTTCCACTGAGCATAATGCCCTTGAGATCCGTTCAGGTTGCTGCGTGTATCAGTAACGCATCCCTTTTTATTGTTGCATGGCGTCCCATTTTATAGATGTGTCAGTTGATTCAACCACTCACCCGTTGAAAGATGCTTGGGTGTTTTCAGCTATTTCTAAGTAAAGCTGTTGTGAACATTTGTAGCTTTTTAAATGTAAAGCTTCCATATCTCTGGGATAAACGTCCAAGACTGTGACTGCTGAGTTCCAGCAAGTGCACACCAAGTTTTGTAAGAAACTGTCCAACAGTTTCCAGAGTGGCTGTACCATTTACAGTCCCACCAGTAGTACATGGGGGTTCAGTTTCTCTGCCTCCTCACCGACCTCTGTTACTGCTACTGTTTTTATTTTAGCTATTCCAATAGGTCTGCAGTGACATCTCATCGTAGTTTTGTGTTTCCCAAATGTCTAATGATGTCGAGCATTTTCTCATGTGCTTATCGGTGCCATCATAACTTCTCTTGGGTAAAATATAGCTCCATGTATTTTGCCCACTTTCTAATTGGATCATTTTTTACCATTGAGTTTGGAGAGCTCTTCACATGTTCTGAGCACAGGTCCTTTGTCAGAGATGTGACCTGCATGTATTGTGCTCCAGTGCGTGGCCTGTCTTTTTTCTTTGACAATATTTGTCACAGAGCATAAGTTTTAAATTTTGGTGAAGCCCAGTTTATCAATATTTTATTTTATGGATCATGCTTTGGTGTCATATATCTAAGAACTCTTTACCTAACCCAAGTTCATGTAGATTTTCTCTTATGTTTTGTTTTAACTTTGTTTTTATTGTTTATACTATTACAGGGGTCTCCATTTCCCCCCCACTTTGCCCGCATTGCCCCCCTCCCTCTTGCTATCACCACGATGACGTCAGAGCCCATGGCTTACACAGGCACGTTCTTTGGCTAATCCTCTCTCCTTCATTCACCCAGTTTCCCCTCCCTCCCCTCTGACAGCCTCTGTTTCCATTTTGTTCGTCAGTTAATTTTGGTCATTAGATTCCACATATCAGTGAGATCCTATGGGACCTGTCTTTTGATTTTATCTTATGTGTTCTTCTAAAAATTTTATAATTTTATGTTTTACATTTGGGTCTATATTCTATTTTGAATTAATTTTTGTGTAAGGTGTAAAGTGTATGTCAGGGTTCTTAAAAAATGGTTCTACTCTTTTTTTCCCTACAGATGTCCAATTGTTTCAATGTCATTTGTTGAAAAGACTTAAATTTTGCTATATCTTTAAGCGTAGGTTTTCATTCTCTCTCTTCCTTGTCACTCTGAGACTTTCCAGTGGGAAGTATTTCATCTCAATATAAGTCTGAGAAAGTTATCTCTGCTTCAAATATTTCCTACTGTTTATTTTGACTTTCTTCTCTTGGGCTCTTCTTATCTGGATATTAGTTATTTTCTTTCTATCTTTATGTTGCATAACTTTTATATTTCATAAGTTTTCTGTTTCTTCATTGTTTTTTCTTTCCTATAGCTTCTCAATCTGATCTTCCAGTTTACTAGTATAATCTGTTCTCACCTATATCCATTCTACTGTTTATCCCCTCTGTGTTCTCTATTTCAACATTCTATTTTTACATTTGATATTTCACATTTCTATTCATTCTTTTTCTTGTATTTGTTTCTGTTATATATTGCTTATATTTTTCCTTATTTTAGTATGTACATTAAGGTTATTTTAAATTCTCAGTACATCTTTTCTAATACCTGCGCTTCTGGTGAAATCTGTAATGCAGTTTTAAATTTTTCTTCTGAAATTATTTTGATCCTCAAGTGACTGGTAACCCCCAGGGGTTATGGCTGCTCTGCCCAGGATTGCTGAGGGCCAACCTGAGTCTGCGTCAGCTCTATCAGCCCAAATCCAAGGTGGGGGAAACGGATGCGGGTGGAAAGCACTCCTTTCCCCGACTCCGAGAAATATCAGAGTTAATCATTCTCACTCTAAGGATCAATGCCTGAAGTTAGATCGTTATCCTAGCACCCCATGAAGAAGTAGCTCCTGGAGGGAGGCACTCCTTAAACTGTAAACCACCTGCCTTGGGGAATCGGAAGAGGAAGTGTGAAGAGGCATGTTCTCAAGCCTACAGACTGTCCTCCCTGCTTGTTCTCATCTCCTTACCCACTCAGGGCTGACCAGAGGCTCTCCTGAGTACGCTGTATGCGTCACAGCAGGTGTGCAGGCAGGTTCAAGGCAAAGAATGTGGGGGTAATTCTAGCGGCTCCTTCCTCATTCTATCTCCCCACTGCGCAGGCCACCTTGTGCCCAGGACTACAGTCAACACGGACTCCTTTCCCGCACTCACACACAGACACACCTGCTCAGAACAGCCTCTCGCGGTTAGTTCTCAGTTTGATGTCCAGGCCAATCCTGAGTTAGGGGCCACCGGCACCGGCACCAGCACCAGAACCTGCTCTGTTCTTCAGTGCTCTCTGAGCTGCTCAGACGTGCACCTACTCAGTCCTGTTCGCAGATTCACATGAGAACACACATTAACCGATAATTCTGGCATCTACAGCTCTCCAAATACTACTTTTTCTTGAAATTTTTTTCTGCTTAATTTCTATTAGATATATATTGGACCACTTAATCTTTAATTTTCCCCCAATTTGCAACTGCTTTTTAAAAAATCCTCATCTGAGGACATGCTTATTGATTTCGAAGAGAGGGGAAGGGAGGGAGAGAAACATCAAGGTGAGAGAGAAACATTGATCAGTTGCTTCTCATACGAACCCTGACTGAGGACTGAACCCACAACCCAGGCAAGTGTCCCGACCAGGAATCAAACCTGTGACCTTTTGATTTGCAGGATGACGCTCTAAGCTACTGAGCCACATCAGCTAGTGTTCGACTGCTTTCAAAATTACTTTTTTGTATTTTTTAAAAATTTTTAGGTAATTAATCAGAACCATCTTCTAGTTCATCCCTTCCTCCTTTCACCTGTGCTGACTCTAGAATTTTTCTTGTCCATTGTGTTTTATTTCAATAGCTATATTTTTTTTATTTGCAGGATTTCGCATTGCTGATAGTTTGTAAGCTCCTCTTGAGTGGTCCAGATTTTTAATCATCCTTCTCTCTGAGTGTCCTTACAGCCCTTTCCAGCCTACCAATTTTTCATTTGCTTCCTTCTGATGCCTACAGTCACAGACCAACATTCAGGACTTAGATGGGCAGTGTGGGGCTCCTTCCTTGTGCTCATATCAGAGATGTTGCAGATCAGGTCCCCAGACCCAGGGATTCTGAGGGTCAGCTGCTGGAGAAGTTGAGTTTGCATCCTTTCACCTACTTGGGTATATTAATACTTTAAGAAGCCCTTGTCCTGGGCTGGGATTATTTCAGCCTCCTTTGTAAGGAGGTGATCCCCATACCTGGGCATAAGGTCAAGCAGTGAGCCCCTATTCAACACTCCTGTCTCAGTTGGACACTTTAAATCTGTATTTACCCCCCCAGGAGCTGAGATCCTGGTTTTCTCTGCCTTTTTCTGGACCCAAAGCCCTGAAGGTCTCTAACTTCCACCTCTTTGCCATATGTGTTTCTGTTCATGCTCTTATCCAGGATGTTCATCTTGTTTTTGAACAGCATGACTGTGACTTTAATTTTCACATTTGTATTTTCTCTTCCACTGCTGTGTGTTTGAGAAAGAAAGGTATCCCCAAAGTATGAACTCACAGAACCATCTGGACTGGAAATCTGCTCCACTGAAGACTATGAAATTACCTTATTCACTCAGTTGTTTTTCTGTTTTGTATGTGGTTCTCCTTTCAGAAGGAAGGCTCCTTGA